TCACTGACCTGCTGAAGCACTTTGAGAGAAACAACGAACGCATGGAGGGAGGAAGCCGGTGGACATAACTTCTGGTTTCCAAATGTCCCTTGACAAGGTCTGAACCTAAAAGCTATTGGAGAAGCTGTGTCCACTGGGTGAGAGGAAATGCCATCTTAACAGACTGAAAGCTGGTTAAAGGAGAGGAAACAAAAGAGCAGGGCTGGACAGCTGCTGCTCAGGACACAGAAGATTCACTGGTGGGGGGCTTGAGGGATTGGTGTGGGACTGGTGTTATCAGCATGTCCATCTGTGACCTGAAGAAAGCAGTGAATAGTGAAATCTCCAGGTCTGCAGATGATACCTTGCTGTTTTGAGCACCCAAAAACCACCCTGGTGGCAGGGAACTTCAAAGAAAGTCAAGAAAACTGGACAAAAAGACATGGCATGAGATTCAGTCACCTTAAACCACGCACACACATCACTGAACTCAGAAACAGTGACTGAGGAAAGTTCCTGGAGACATTGTCGCATGTTCTCTGAAATCATGGGCTCCACACGCAGCAAGAGACACAAAAAGTCAACACAATTTTGGGAATCATCAGAAAGGCTACTGAGACCAAGACAGACAGAATCCCCACATCTCCAGGACTGTTCACTTCTCTGCTCCCAAAAGGCAGAGCCGAAGGGGACCCAGCAACTGCACCGAGGACTGTGCAAGGACGATGGTGATACGCCACAGGGTAAGGTCCCTGGCACCAGCCGGAGTATCCCTGGCACTTCAGAGGAAGGATACAGCTTTCAGGGTCTTGGGCTACAGGGAGTGCCTGGGACCTCTCCGTGAGGCTGGTGGTGGCCTCAGCAGCAGCAGGTGTGCCCTGGTCAAGGTGCTGAGCTGGCAGGTGAAGCAGCTACAGGATGAGATGAGCACACTGCAGAGCACCAGTGAAAATGAATGGGAGAGCAAACAGCTCTTTGCAGAAACCCTGCAGAGTCCCAATCCCACGTTGCGTGGAAGGAGGGTCGGCTAGAGGCTGTGCTTAGCCAAACAGCAGAGGCTCCCACGATGGGGAGCGCTGGGAGCCTGAGATTGCTGGCAACAGAGGGAAAAGTCCTTCTCCAAGGACATCCAAAGGCATGCAAAGAATAGGTGCAGTGCCTTGCAGCAGATGAGGAGAAACAAAGTTTGCAAAAGCCATCCCAGAATGAACCACATGCCAGCACCAATGGAGGGCGTCAAGTGAAAGCTACTGGAAGCCTCCTGCAGGGGACAGAGGCACCCATCTGTCAGACAGACCTGCTGCTCCAGGAGGCTCCCTGCCAGCCAGAGGCTCGGGCACCACGACAGACAGTGCTGTGCCCTTGCAACAGCAGAAGGTGTGACCAGCAAGTCGAGGCCAGTGATTGTTCCCCACTGGTCCGTGCTCGTGACTCTGCATCTGGGGCACACGACAGACACTGACTAACTGGAATGGGCGCAGAGGAGGGCCACGAAGATGAACGGAGGTGTAGAAAATACATTCTACAAAGAGAGGCAGAGAGACCTGGGGTCCTTCATTCTTGAGAACAGAAAGCTGAAAGGGATGTTGCTGCTGTCTTCAACTACCTTAACACAACGGTACAGAGAGAACACAGGTCAGGCTCTTCTCAAAGGTACATAGTGGTGTAGGGAGAGAGGCAAGGCATGCAAGGTGGAACAAGGAAAATCCTGGTTAGATATTAGGAAGAAAGCGTTTACCATAATCGTAGTTAAACACTGGAAGAGGAGTCCAGAGAGGCTGCGAGATCTCCATCTTTGGCGATACTCAGAACTCAACTAGACAAGGCCCTCGGCAAGCTGATTGAGGCTGGCCCTGTGCTTTGAGAGACCAAACCACCTCTGCGGTTCCCCTCCAACTTGAATGATCCTGTGATGCCACATCTTGAGAAAGACATTGCTGTTTAACATCTTTGTTGGAGACATGGACAGTGGGATCAAGCGCACCCTCAGCAAGTTTGCTGACAACACCAATGGTGTGGTGTGGTGGGTAAGCTGGAGGGAAGGGATGGCATCCAGAGCGACCCTGACAGGCTGGAGAGGTGGGCCTGTGAGAACCTCATGAAGTTCAACAAGGCCAAGTGCAAGGTCCTGCACGTGGGTCGGGGCAATCCCAAGCACAAGGACAGGCTGAGTGGAGAATGGATTGAGAGCAGCCAGGAGGAGAAGGACTTGGGGGTGCTGGGTGATGAGCAGCTCAACATAAGCCGGCACCGTGCACTGGCAGCTCAGAAAGCCAACTGTGTCCTGGGCTGCACCCAGAGCAGCGTGGGCAGCAGGTCAGGGAGAGGATTCTGCCCCTCTGCTCTGCTCTGTGAGACCCCCCTGCAGTGCGGCCTTCAGCTCCGGGGGCCCCAACATCAGAAGGACATGGAGCTGCTGGAGCGGGGCCAGAGGAGGCCGCGGAGATGCTCCGAGGGCTGGAGCACCTCTGCTCTGGAGACAGGCTGGGAGAGTTGGGGCTGTTTCGGCTGGAGAAGAGGAGG